TTTAAAAATGTGATCTCTCACAAAAATCTGTGTTTTGCCCACTTGTGGGAAAATGCCATGAAACACACATACATGTATGTATGAACATTCACCAAAGAACAAACTCTTTACGTCCACACACAAACACAAATGTTCATGTCTTTGTCACTTGTAAATTTGCTGTTTAATACATATATTTGTTGACATACATATATATATATATATATATATATATATATATATATATCGGTTTTGTTTGTCTTCTTTACATATTCGGTTGGACTTCATTCGAGTCCACCATTTTCTTATAGTTGGACCTTCTTCTAGCAGGAATAAATAGCATGTGTTCCTAATTCAACAACACACAAACCTACAAGGTCCTCTACAATTGTACTAAAACCTAATTGTTATCTTGCTTTAAAAGATAAATTCAGTATAATATTCAAAATTTAATTTGACAGTTTTGGCATTCACTGACAAAAAAGTTTGTGTCTAAATGGGGCACTGGTTGAAAAAAGTTGGGAAAACTGATCTAGAGCATGAAGCTTTAACTTCTTTCTAAAATGACCAGTTTTGACCAAAATTGAAGATGAAATAAAACAAGCAATAATATATTCAGTATATGACATTTTTATTTGAAGAAAAGTAAAAAATTTGATTCATATGTTAAAAAAAAAAAAAAAAAGGATAAAAAACTTTGTGTAGTTGTTGGATAAGGTGCTGCATAATCAAACATGTCAAAACTAGCTTGCAAAGTTTCTTACTTTATAATGCTCTATGGCCAGAAACATCTGAGGTTGATAACAATCAAATGGAGACATTATACAATACCAGAGTTAGTCAATATACACAAAATAACTAAATCAAGTACTAAATATCATTTACACTAGCTTTGTTATGCTAGTCACTTTGATGTATGCTGGGATTCAATAAAAATGCACAATTCTCAGTCTCTTTCCCCATATTGTCATTCTTTCTTGTCTTGAAGTCAAAATACTATAACCATTTGACTGCATGCCATTTTTGTGGCCACCATTCTTACTTTGTGTTGTGGAGTACACCCCCACAAGATGGACTGATCTAAGACTATTTAAACAGCACTCTTTCTTACTGAGGGAGAGGAGTTAACAAGTAACTGTTTATTACATTAGTCTGTGTTCTCAACCATATACCATATTATTCTCCAGAATAAACTACTTATTTTCTATATGTGTGTCAACTTTTCCTGACTATTCCTATTTACGACACAACATTTTGTAAACTTTTTGCCATATTACTGTTGCTTTACCTAGTTTTGACTTGCATATATATTGTTTACTTCATATGATTTTGCCCTGTTCTTTTTCTTACTTTTCTTATTATTTGAGAACTTTGTCAATTCCTTTTGTTGAGAAAGTTTTTAATTACACTTAATCATAACCAATTATTCCTCAGTCAGGAATAAATTAAGAAAATCTATATAAATTAGAATTTGCTAAATCAAATTTACGTTTTTATTCTTTAAGGATAAAATTTTAATTTTTGTCATAAAACTTCTGTTTAAAAAATTGTTATATTTTACAAAACTTTGTTCATCTTTTTATTAATTTGTGGATGTTTAAACATGGTCACATCCAAATTAACCCCTACACAAACTATTTTCAGTTTGAACTCATGGTAACCTCTTCTTGTTTTACTGTACAAGGTTGGATACTTTTATGACAGACGAGTATTCTATTGTATGTGTATGCAACAAAGCACCCACCTAGGGTGGGGTAGGAGGTAAACACACAGACAGAAAGTTTCCATCACTTTCTAAGCACCACAGATGTCAAAAAATAAAAATAAAAATAAAAAAAAATTTATTTTTTGTCAAGAAGTAATCAAGTGTTTGGTTCCAAAACCAACTCATTACTCCTAGCTTTTTTTTTGTTTCTTTTTAAGTTGTTTTTTTTTTTTGTTAACCGTTAGACTTTTATGCAGGAAGGATACTCTTTTATATCAAATAAAAATACCATCTGGAATCGTCATATTGGTGGGAATTAAGTTTGTCAGTTCAAAGAAATAAAAAATAAAATTTAAAACATTACGTAGGGAAATTTATATGAGTTTCAATGAAATAGAATAATTGTGTTGTGGAGAAAACTATTTGAAAAATAATGAGCATGAAATAAATACGTATCATGCAAGGTGGGAAGAAAAGCGAAATAAATAATTTAATCATTCTGGCACTTGTATAGTGATTTTCCAAGCGTAGCTTAGATGTAGTACAAGGCCGATAGTAGGGGGTACCCAGTGAGGATCGAACTCACTAATCAATTGTAATTGTTCTAGCAAAACACACTTGCTAACCATTACAACACCTCGAGGTGCCCATACTGGCACTTGTATATGATACATACAAAAATAGGCAAATATAGACGCAAAAGAAAAAGCGTTGTTTGGGAGTGCGAGAGAGTGAACAAAAGTGGGAGAGAGCAAGTGGGTGAGCAAGGGTGTGCCAGTGAGCAAGAGTGTGAGTGAGCCAGAGTGAGCAAGAGTGAGCCAGTGAGCAAGAGTGTGAGTGAGCCAGAGTGAGCAAGAGTGAGCCAGAGTGAGCAAGAGTGTGAGTGAGCCAGAGTGAGCAAGAGTGAGCAAGAGTGTGAGTGAGCAAGGTGTGGGTGAGCAAGAGGAGCCAGAGTGAGCAAGGTGAGCCAGGTGAGCAAGAGAGTGAGCCAGGTGAGCAAGAGTGGAGCCAGGTGAGCCAGGTGTGAGGTGAGCAAGAGTGAGCCAGGTGAGCAAGAGTGAGCAGAGGAGCCAGGAGTGAGCAAGAGTGGAGCCAGGTGAGTGAGCCAGTGAGCAAAGGTGAGGAGCAAGGTGTGGAGTGAGCCAGAGGAGCAAAGAGGAGCAAGAGTGTGAGTGAGCCAGAGTGAGCAAGAGTGTGAGTGAGCCAGAGTGTGAGTGAGCCAGAGTGTGACAGAGTGTGAGTGAGCCAGAGTGAGCAAGAATGTGAGTGAGCCAGAGTGAGCCAGAGTGTGAGTGAGTAAGAATGTAAGTGTCCATTTTTATAACATTTTAAAAGACAAGAAGAAAAATATTTTTGTCAAAGTTCCTCCATGTCCTGGCTTTATTTCATATAAGTATTGTCTTTATATCCAAAATGCCCAAAGAAAAACATGAACGTTTAGGGATAAATAAAAAGAACAATGTCTATCTCCTATTAGTTTGTTTATTTTGTATCAGAAAAGCTTAATCTAAATGTGATAAAGACTCCAAAATTAAGGAAAGCAAATTGCAGAAAGCCATGATTGCCCATCTCCTGATGGTACATGGTATATAGAAGAAAGAAAAAGTTTCAATTGTCTAGGGAAAAGAAAATTGTTGGGTATCTCAAAGTCATAGACATTGAAATTTTAAGTAATGATCATAAAGTAATAATTCAATACAAGTCATATAAAGAATTCTAAGAAAAGAAAAAAAAATACTTTTCCATAATAAAACCAACATGTTTCCAGGCATCAAAAATGTCCTTTTTTCTTTTAAAATAAATCTTAAAAATTTTCCCTATACATCTTACAAGCCATGGCGGGGTCTATGCTGATGACATAGGTGTTCATAGTTGGGATAAGAATAATCTTGAACAGAAAAATCAACATCTTCTACCAAGTATTGCCAAAAAAATAGGACTCAAGATAAACCTTTCCAAAACAAAAACTATGATCTGGAACTGGAATGAAAGCAGTGATGGCATGTATGTTGAATATATCAAAAAAACTCAGAATGTGGAATTTGTAAATACCAAACACTTCAAATATTTCAGAATTCGAATCAGTTATAATAAATTTAGTATAAGAGATAAAGAAATTGAACAGAGAATATGCTACACTCAAGACCACAAACTGCTACAAAACCAAAACATTAACTTCAAAACTAGAGTCATGTTCTTTAATAGCCTCATCAGATTGAGACTTTTATATGGATGTCAAGCATGGTGGCAAACACATTCAGAAATATCTAAACTGTCAGCTGTATACAACCACTTTCCAAGATTCTGATTAAGAATAGCTTTATTATAAAATAAAATAAGACATATCTCGGCTGATTTGCAGGCAAATAAACTAACATACATAAGAGCGAGAGCCGGATGTGAACGGGTCAGGGCCCCATCACAAAATGACCATTATCATCGTTTACACATATTCCCTACGCACGAGTTCCGGTTGAAAAATAAAATATTTTAAAGTGTTTCTATTTTTCGACCAATAAAAATGCTTCCCTCCTAATTATACTCATGTCGTTTTTTGAGCCTGTTAAGCCATAAAGAAACACCATAAAAAGGGTCACATGGTGAAGTACAACAGCAGTCAACAGGAGGCCAGGGAAGAGACCTGTCACGGTCAGGCTGAATGGTTGGCAGCAGTCATCAGGAGGAGTGCCATGCCAACCAGTGAGAACTACTATGAGAGATCAACCCAGATCTTCAGCCGGCCTATGAACTATTACCACAAGGTAGCTGTCCCAAATCCACACGTTCCTATTGAAATAAATCACGTAAACCTATTTCTACTGTTGTCTTGCAACCATACGCTTGTCTATAACAGTTTTGACTGTGTGAAGTCTGTGGGTTTTGGTAAAGATTTTTAACATTGTGGGCTGGTGCTACAGAATCACAAAGACCTGTACCAGATAACTGGAACCACATCACTTGAAGAATTTCAACAAAAGCAAAAAGTAAAATGGATACCGCATATAACACAAAGAGAAAATAATGAAGGAATCAAGATGTTAACGTTCCACAAGACATGAGAAACTAATTTTCAGGAAAAATTATTTTAAGTGAAAGTTTTTATAAATCACAGTCGACACTAGTATTGGCAGCTCAGTCCATGAATGCCAAATGTTTGCTTATAAGGAAATGGTTAATATAACAATTATCATGCAATACTTTTTGATTATTCCTTACATTTTTTTTTTTTTTTTTATTTGGCAAATCAATATTGGGGAGCATTATTTTAGCACTGGGGTCAGGAGATACAGTAAATAAAAGCCAGAATTCAACTTACATCATTGTTATCATCAACACACTGTATATGAGGCCCATCGTAACCACTACCAGCCATGTCAAACATTTGACTTAGGGTCAGTTTCTGCGGATCCGACGTTTTCTGCAAAAGAAAGGAAAGAAATGAACGAATTAAAATAGCAAAGCTTCAATTGATTATACACACAGATATATTTTCTGTTTATACATTATTTTTTATAAATACAAATATTTAAATGTTTATAAATTAACAGTTTTAACTACATTTACTGGCCTGAATCTCCAAAAAATTTCATAGAAAATATGTCTTCTGATAGGAATCGAACCTGTATCCTACACAGAACCATCATGTAGCCTGATGTGCTATACCATTTAGCTACAGAGGAAGCGTCTGGTCAGCAAGGAAAGTTACTGTTTTTAAACTAAAAATTTCCCATGATTTCTTTTGAATGCTCATATCTGCTTGAGGACACAAATTTTCTATGAAATTTCTCAGACATTCAGGCCAGTATATGTAGTCAATACTGTTTATAATAAACAGAGCATTTACTTAAATATTTGTATCTATAAAAATAACATATAAACAGAAAATATATTAAAATAATTGTTGGACATAGTCCATTTCATAATATATATATATATATATATATATATATATATATATATATATATATATATATATATATATATATATGTGTGTGTGTGTGTGTGTGTGGCATCCATCAGTCTCTAGAAACCTTGAATCTGTGCCCAAAGAGTTACGCTTCAGCTGCTGATGACAGTGCAATATCTGTTATGGCTGTACAGGCCCACAGTCTCAATTACAATGAATACATGTGAAGACACCCTCCCCTGATGTCATCTTGTTTTCTTTTCATCAAGCATACTTCTCCCTGATGACAAACCTTCATTTCTCTTCCCCTCACTCCAGCCCTCAGTATAAATCATGTCTCCAGCAATCCTTTTTTTTTTTTTTTTTTAAACAGTATCCTCCCATTCAAGGCAGTAAAGCCACTAAAACATAAGGCGTTACACAATGTGGAAGAATTAGGAACAAAAACAATAATAATGAGCTGGAAGAGAAAAGAGTAATCAAGAGGCCAGTAGATAGCAGTTGACATTGCATTTAAATTCTTGCAGATTAAAGTTGGCTGGAAAACATGGAGCCAGAAGGGAGTTCCACAACCGAGAAGTGCAAGAAAAGAAACTGTTAGCATAGAATTTACAGCTACATCTAGCCATCTCAACTGAGATATTGACACCAGGTTAGATTTATACAAGTTTCGATAACCTTTGTGCTTGAAAAAAAAAAAGAAAAAAAAAGTGTGTCAAAAGAACATTTTTCCATTGACACTATTATTATTATTATTTTAACTAACTTCACAACACAGCAATGTTTCTTTTAAAAAGCAACAATTAAAATTGTAATAAAATCTAAATATATGATGAAAGAGAATTTATACATGTTTTGTTCTTGAGAATTTACATAAAAAATATTAAAAACTATTTATTTATTAGATCGTTTATTCACACAATTGATTTATATTTGTTTACTGGAATGGTTGGCAAAATATGAGCAAATTGCCAATCGATCCAAATTTTATAAAATGGTAAATAATAAGGATTTCCTTGTAGTTGGTTCATATATTTTAATAATTTTGTAAATGTTTATAAATTTATACATAAAAAAATTGCTTTCACATACATTTCTTTATAAATTGGTAAATGAAATATTGCATTGCTTTTGTTTTAATAGACTTGTAATTATTTTTTTAGAATTTTGTAATTATAAAATTATTCTTGTAAATAAACAATCTAATGAATAGTATTTAATATTTTTGTTGTAAATTCTAAAGAACAAAATAAATGTATTAATTCACTTATATTTTTACGCTTTATTACAATTCTAATTATTGCTTTTTAAAACAATGAACATTGTCAAGGAGTGAAGGAAGTTAAATACAGGTGGCAAAAGAAAAAACATCCTTTTGACACCCTGTATTTTTAAGGCATAAAGGTTAAAGATAGTACAAATTTCATTGTAGATGACTGATGAGGTACTGCCCTTGAATTTTTTATTAAATTTTTCTTTTATTTATACAAGTGCTTTATTTTCTGGACATGAAGTGTGTAAAAACTGTCCAAATGATGAATGGATTCAAGCATTTTCTGCTAATCTCTTAGTCATTATCAAGGATATTTTTTTATTATTATTATTATGTCCATATAGCAATGACATTGTTCATAATTGATATTATTGAGAGTTTGTTTCTTCTTTTTTATTGTTAATGCTTCCATTAAATTAACCACTTTTTGCATGTAGATGAGTCTATTATGTTCATATGTTGCAGACAGACATTGGCATATATATATATATATATATATATATATACACACACACCAATCTCTGTCCGCAACATACTTGTAAAAAATATGGACATAATAGATTCATCTACATAAAAAAAGTGGTTAAAAAAATAATGGAAGCATTAACAATAAAAAAAGAAGAAATAAATACATATTATATATATATATAAAATATATATATAAAATATAATATATATAAATAAATATATATATATATATATATATATATATATATATATACACGTTTCATTAAATAATATAGACAAGTGTTGTCTATTTATTTTATGTAAAATTTTTCGTATCTTCTGATAAGTTTGGTAACATTATCATTAACCAAAAAAAAGAAATTCACAATATTTATCCATTATTTTTTAATAAAATCTAAGCTTTCGGCTTACTCAAGCCATTATCAAAGATGTAAATACAAACATATCAAACAATATACGGACACGACAGTGATGATATAGTCTGTCATTGTTTTGTTTACATAGTGAATCAAACAACGATGAACACGCGATATAAGACGCTAGAAACGAAAATCGCACCGCATCTCATGACGTCACACATGACTACACGAGAGTGAATTGGAGAATGAAATAAGGAAAGCCGTTGGTATAATCAATGGCTTCTGTTACCAATTATTGAAATTATAGACATTTAAGAATATTTGTAGAGATTCCATAGTTGATTTTGTTTAGGTTGGGTTTTAACTGTTTGATGTATAATGCTTCAAGTATTTTTAGTTTTTTGTCTATTGTTTTCATGTCGAAGTATAGTTGTGTTTTACAAGTATTTTACGGAATTGTGTGTGCGGGCAGGCATGTTGTTTTAAATGCCTAAAAATGTTAGAGTTTTCATTAAGATGTAGTGTGGAAAGCGTCGTGAAAGTTTAGTTTGTGGTGTGACCAACATAAATATTATTTAATTCGTTGGAGATACACTCTCCCAAAGGGCACTTGAATTTATAAACTATGTTGGTTTTTTGCAAATCGCTAATCGGGGAGAAGAATCATTGCAAAGTATTAAGTCGGGATATACTAGATTTAGTGTAGTATATGATTAATTTAATTTTTTTGCTAGGATCTGTAGTTGATATATTAGAATTTACTAAATTTTTTTAGTATGTGTTCATCTTGTTTATAATTAGTATGCATTTGATTACTTATATAGGAGATTAATATATTTGAGATCAGTAGAAGCAGTATTATGTACAATTTGCTTATTATTGAGATTTCTAAGAAAGCATCTTATTTGTTCATCAACTATATAGTTTGGAAAGCTATTATTAATAAGTGTCTGTTTTGTATTCTTTAGTTCACTGTAAAAAATCTGTTTGGTGGATGAATTAGTTTCTGCACGATGTATTAGATTCTTTATAATTGCTATTTTGTAGTAATATGGGCATTCGCTCTTGTAGTTAAGTGTACATGAATTTATGCTTGTAGGTTTTTTGTATGGAGAAATAGTAAATTTGTTATTATTTGTGTTTATTAATATGTCAAGGAAGGGGATTTTATTATTAGTATTAAGTTCATATGTGAATTTAAGGACAGAATTATTTTGGAACCGTTTTTGAAGTTGAAATAAAATATATATATGAAATTAGCATATAAAAAAAAAAAAAATTCCCATAGCTAAGTAAAATTCTTAAAAGCTTAGCCAAATCATTAAATAGGAAAAACCCTTTTTGTAGTCGTCAAAAAAACAAAAAAAACAAATTGAAATTCAGTGCAATGCGATCTGTATATAAAACACCCACTTGAATAAACAAATAAATAAATAGATAATCAGATGGACAATAATAAAAGACAATTCCCCAGACACATAATGATTGTAGGCACGCCATAAAAATATCCCTCACTGGGAACTAACTAAAGAGTGACTGCAAACATTAGCCTTGAAATAGATACCCCACCCAACCTTAGCAAAACCTCTCAGAAGATGATGAATCTATTGATAAGAATTAACTCTCTGACCACTTAACGAAGGAAAATAGTCTAGCCACTCCGACAATAACGAATTCTGTAACGGACCATGCCTAAAAACACACGTAAACCGAGAGATAGCTTATTCCTAAAATTTCGCTTGAAGATGAAACGGGACTAAACACCACAATCCAACTTAATTTTAATAATTATTTGGATGATTTCGGCTCTTGTTTTTGAAACATGAGAACGCTTATGTAGCGAAGGAATCATATTTTTAAACCAAAAAAATATTATTATAATAAAGCTCTACTTCTGTATGGAGCACTGTCTTCTTAAAAATAAAAACAAAAATACTAAGGAACTCTGGATTATGCACCCAACGTGTTCTTTTCTATTTTCTGCACGCCTACGCACTTATACATATATATATATATATATATATATATATATTCAAACAGGTTTGATTAAATAATTTAGACATTCCATGTCAATTTATTTTGGTTGTGATCCTTTCAAGTTCAGATTAATTTTTTTTAAGACTACCAAATTAATCTGTGAACTTTAAAGGACCACAACTAAAATAAATAGACATACATTTAAATTATTTAACCAAACCATTTTGAATGAAAATATTTGCCTAAATATATACACAAACACACACACATATATATATATATATATATATATATATATATATATATATATATATATATATATATATACACACACACACATATATATATATATATATATAAATATACATACACACACACTTATATATACACACACACACATATATATATATACACACACACACACACATATATAT